CAACCACTGAAGCTCCGACCACCACCACCATGGAACCTTCCACCACAACCACTGAAGCTCCGACCACTACCACTATGGAACCTTCCACCACAACCACTGAAGCTCCGACCACTACCACCATGGAACCTTCCACCACAACCACTGAAGCTTCGACCACCACCATCATGGAACCTTCTACCACAACCACTGAAGCTCCGACCACTACCACTATGGAACCTTCCACCACAACCACTGAAGCTCCGACCACTACAACTATGGAACCTTCCACCACAACCACTGAAGCTTCGACCACCACCACCATGGAACCTTCCACCACAACCACTGAAGCTTCGACCACCACCACCATGGAACCTTCCACCACAACCACTGAAGCTTCGACCACCACCACCATGGAACCTTCCACCACAACCACTGAAGCTTCGACCACCACCACCATGGAACCTTCCACCACGGTACTATCGACCTCTACCACAGAACCTTCTACTACAACAATGGGTATGTTAAGCTTGTAAAACTGAAAAGCTTTCATGCTCATGTTTATGATGCCGTCGTTGTTTCTTTAATCGAGAAAAGGCATAAACGATCTTTCATGTTGAAGCAAAAAAATTGTGAAATAAGTTCTGGGAAACTTTCCAAGATTTAGGAAAATTTGTGGAATATCCTAGTTTCTTTGTAAGTAGTGTTCAATTTTTGTTTTCTATTGACTGCTCATTGATGACACTAAAAATTTTGTACAAATTGTTAAATTAAGAAAAATCGAAAACGACATTGAACGTATGCATCATTACAGAATCCACCACCGCTACTACAAAACCATCAACTACAACAACAATGGTACCCTCGACCGCTACCATAGAATCATCTACTACAACCATGGTATCATCGACCACCACCACAACGATGGAAGCGACAACCACCGGTATGTTGGGTAGTACACAATTTGTAGTAATCAAAATTTTCGAGGCGAAAAACTAACACAAGAATTCTGCAATGAAAAAAAACGGTATCCCTGCAAATGTGGGATAGGATGAAATAAGCATTTCTAGCCCACCAACCAAATTCCAGATGTCTGTTTTTTTTTGAAATTCTAGCAGTTTTTTATCTTGTAAAAAGAAAATGTAGAATTTGAGCACGTCGGCTCTCGAAATAGACAGCTTATTGTCTTTTTTGAATGATTTTTTTCTGGATATGCGACTTTCCGATTTTAATCTGAATCATAAACAAGAAAATCGATATGGTTTTATAAAGAATAAATTTTCCTGATATATAAAACGCTATAGGCGTCTGTTGGTCCTCATGTCACGCTGTC